AGCAATTCCCAGAACTAACCAGCCCCACAGACATGGCCACAGGACTTAAAGACACACCAACTGGGCCATATATTGAGACTGTTCCATGACTTATGGTCGGGCCTTCACTGATATTTCACAGCATCAATGTGACCCCAGCCCAGATCTCTGTGGAAATAAAACCTAAAACATATATACTATAAGAAATGCTTATAGATCTTTGTCTTTGTTGGCACTTACAGAGTTTTATTATATTGATTTCCATTCAATTTCATTTTTTTCTTCCTTATGTTTTCTATATGTATCCATCTTAATTCTTCCATTATTTCTCATATGTATCCTAATCCCCTCATTAGTCTGGGGCTCCTTGAGGGAAGGGACATTTCCTCCTCTGCATTGCACAAAAATCAACACAGGTGCCAGGCTTGGTAGTGCACACCTGTAATCCTAGAGACTTAGGAAGTTGAGGCAGGAAGATCAAAAGTTTGAGATCAGCCTCAGCAACATACTGGGGCCCTAAGCAACTCAGTGAGACCCTGTCTCAAAATAAAAAATGCTGGGGATGTGGTTCAGTGGTTAAGTGCCCCTGGGTTCAATCCCCAGTACCAAAACCCAAACAAATCAACACAATTGAACATATTCAATAAACAATGCTAAGTGCTTTTCTCATGGTTAAAATGTATCTACAGCTAATTCCCTCCTCCTCAGAGTTCTTGGATGCCAAAGTGCTGCCATGACCTCTTCTCTGCTGATATGAAAGGCTTATGTTTTCCCTCAAATTTATTTGGCTCTACCCTTATCTTTTTAGAATCTCCAAATAATTTTCTTATTCCTTGACCAATGAACACTGGATATTCACATGGAAGAGTATGTCTCTAGTTTAAAGTCTAGTTCTTGGTAGGTTACTAATGAACACATTTGAGTGAAATAATAACAAAAAAGGCCTACTCTCTACCATCAAACAGATTATATATGCTCGGGCTTTAGGACCCATTGAAATGGGTTAGAGCCCAAAAGCCTAATTAAGTTACTAGTCCCAAATGTAATAGTTTTGAGATATTACAATTTTATTTAAAAGGACCAAGAATCAGGGATTTGCAAATAGATCTTGTTAGCTGTAATTTCACTGACTTGACTCTCCTTTGGCATTGCTTGTTGGTGGCTGCAAGCTCTGCAACCTACATACCACTCAGGCTGGGGTTGGCATACCCACTTATTGTGGTCGCTTGCCAAAGTAGGGAAAGGATCTATGAGGGAAGAGAGGTCAGAGTCCAAGGAATCCTGAGGCAGCACATAGTCTTACCGCATCAAACTCTGCTTGATCATCCTCAGGTAGGTCGCTGGTTTCATAAACATCTGGTTCGTTCCTGGCCTGCAGGTAGAAGCAGTGACCACCCAACCTCACTACCTAGCATCCACCAACCTCTTACCCGACTCCATTTGAACAAACTAATGGAGAAGGCAGGGTTCTGCGATACCAAGATTCTGTTCTTTCTTCTCCATCTGCCTTACTAATGGCATGTCAGTTCCCTTGTCTCAGTGAAGTGGGGGTGACAGCTGGTACAAATGGGACCTAAGGATAAACAGTGAATGTGATAACAAAGATGTTATCCTGAACTTGGACAGGAAGGGTCCTTGGTAATCATTCTGTCCAAGATAGGTGAGGACCTTCCTCGAATTAGGCCCCTGTGATATGGGTTAAGAGTGACTCAGGACCTTAATTCCTAAGGTTCTGTGCCCCAACCCCCACCCCGAGAATGCAGGCAGGGGAGCACCAAAGGAGGGTACACTCCAACTTGTTCATGAGGAGTGAGGGGCAGACATAGGTCCCCCAAAAGACAGAATTTCCATGGGGCACAAGAAGGGTTCTGCCACAGTAAACCTCTTCCTTTGGCAGGATGAAGACCGTCACCAAGTTGTCTGGTGAGTATGTCCAGGGTAGGGATGGGGGGCTTATTGGGAGATTTGGGGGAGGCACGGGTGGTGTTGACACGGATGACAGAAACACTCGGGCACAAGTGGTAAACACCCTGACGATTTCTGGGCCGAGAAACCGGCGACTGCCGGAAAGGGGGCCTGATGCGCCGTCCGACGGCCAGGCCCAGTCAGGTCAGAGGAGTGCGGAAGGTGCTGCAGCCGGTCGGGGAGAGAGCGGCAGGAGCCCTTGGGGCGGAGGAGGGGCAGCAGGCGGGAGGGGTCACGGGTTGGTTTCTGTTGGGGGTCCTTGGGAGGTCGGGGGCGCGGTCCTGGGGAGCCAGGGCCGGCCCTGTACTCACAATGCCGGGAAGGTCGGCGTATTTAGGGTCCGCCATGGCGGCGGCGACGCGGGGCTGGGGGACCGGAGCCTCGGTGGAGTCGGGGCGGGTGATTGGGTAGGGGAGAGATTGGGTCCGGGTCCCCAGCTAAGGCGGCGGTAAAGGGAGCGGCAGAGGAGCGGGAAGTCTCGCGACAGGAGTAGCACACCAGAAGGGTAAAGCAAAAGTCGCGAGAACACCCCGCTACCACACCCCTGGAGAAGGTGGGATTGGCGAGAGCGAGGCCGAGCAATGAGGTAATGGCGAGGATCGTCGCCTAGAATTGTGGGATATGTAGTCCTGGCTTCTGGAGCTTGGGTGGGGAATGCACCTTAGGGAGCTATTTCGTTCAACTTATTTCCTTTAATTTTTACATCAAGTCTGGGAAAGAACTTTTTTAATTCCCGTATTAGACTCCCAGGAATTATTGACGAGATAAAATCAAGTAGTCATGTCGTGAGGGCTTCAAAAAACAGTAGTAATAAGTAAAATTTAGTTAAGACTTAGCATGTTTGGAATGGAAAAGTTAAGCAGTCTTCTTAAGTTAGGACTGTTATATAAAATACAGGACATCTAGTTAAATTTGAATTTCAGATAAAAATTAGTATTGGTGTTTTGTTTGGTTTTGCTCTGTTTTGTCCCATATTCGAGACACATAAAATTGCTTACCTAAAATTCAAATTTAACTAGATAAATTGCTTTTGTTTTTGTTTTTCAAGTTTGGAAATCCTATCTAAAGTTCACAAATGGATAAATGACGGTTCTGAGTCTGTCTAAACGCTCTCTATCCTCTTAATCATTTCATTAATAGTTCCCAGACTTCTGAATTTCGTGGTTCAATAAAATTAAAACAACATACCTTTCTTAAGGATACACATAGTGAAGCTATATATTTAATTTACCAGGTAAATATTTTACAAATAGAAAACCTACAAGATACCATTTCTACTATTACTTGGTAGAAAAGTAAAAGGACAAATTCTTAGAGTAAAAGTCCTTTGAGACTCAACAAATCCAGCTTTATGTGAAACTCACTACATTGTTCTTTGGGGTTCAGACACACCCATTAAACTTTTCTTTCTGACTAGTGACACCTTATGGACTGGCATTTTGCAGCTCCTTTGCTAAGGATGCCACCTTGTAGCCCGTGATGGCCTGAAGTTGGGATGTTTCCTGAGTTTGCAGGATGCTGCAACTCAGAAATATTGCCAAATCAAATGACTGGAGAGTTCCTGAATTTGGAACTCATTGTGTTCTCTCTCCTGGCTCCTCCCCAAGCCTCTGCCTTTTTCTCCCACAGACTACTGCCTTCTTATTCAGTTGCTTCTGCTGGACCCCCTTCCTTCAGTGTCTTCAAGATTTAAAGTGGGTTAGAAGTGTGGGTCCAATATGGGTAACCTCCTCATTTGAGTGGGTTTTTTTTGGGGGGAGGGGTACTCAGGATTGAACTCAGGGGCACTGAACCACTGAGCCACATCCCCAGCTCTATTTTGTATTTTATTTGGAGATAGAGTCTGAGTTACTTATCACCTCACTTTTGCTGAGGCTGGCTTTGAACTTGTAATCATCCTGCCTCAGCCTCCCAAGCTGCTGGGATTACAGGTGTGTTCCACTGTGCCCAGGCCTTAGTAGAGTTAGGTCTTATCTGACCAGGCCATTAGCCTCTTACCCTTGCCCCATAATGTCTTAAGTGACTGTAGATACTGACCAATTTCTAAACAGAACCTACATTTCTTCCTCCCTTCTCCCATCATGCTGCCCCTCTTCTTCACCAAGAGTCTCAACTTCTGCAATCCACTTCTGTGTTGGCTAAAAGAGGCCTGTGATGTGGATAAAAATCAATTTGGGCAGCTTCTGGATAAAAGGCAATTTGGCCAGCTCCTGGGTGGTTCCGCTCAGGAGCTGCAGCAGGAGTCTGACCCAAGTGCAGGAAGGACAAGGAACCTCGGGGTGTTTTGTTTTGTTGTTTCCAGAGAAAGGGGAGAAGCAGTGAAGAAAGGGGATGGGGTGTTGGGTAGGGACCCATTGAGTAGGGTCCCTACCCCCTACCCAATGGTAACTTCGACTAGAAACAAACATTCACATTAGGTGCCTAAGCCTACTTGAAACACAAATGCAGATGTTTGCCCTAAAGATTCTGTCAAAGTCCCTCTAGCCTTACCCACTCTCAACACCATCCCCCTATTCTTGCCCACCTCCATCCTAGTCCCAACCTATGAGGCAAAAATGAAAATTTGGTCTGCTTTTAAATTCTGATAGTCCAGAATGGGAGTTTGTCTTGCCTCAACCTGGGGACCTGGTGTGTATGTTGGGAAGAGAAAAGAGTGCACTTTTGGATGTAGAAGGGGAAGGAAGTAACAGATCCTCCTTTGACACTTGCATATGACAATGGGATCTGGATACCCACTTCCACAGGGGTTCAGAAAGTTGTCTTTGAAAGCTGAATGGGTTTGGAGTTCAGCTTTTGTGCGTCTGTGGGGGGAGGGGAATGAGAAGAAATGTGTTCCCAGATTGGAGAGAGTACTGTAATGAGGCTGGGGGATGCACTGAAATAAAAGGACTGGAAGTCTTGTGGACCTTCTTCCCTAGACAGGCAACCGGCCCACTCAGCCCCCGCCTCATCCCTTCCCGGAGGTGGAGTCTGAGGGAAGAACAAACAGGTCGGGGGCGTGGGGGTGGGATGCTGTGAGCTAGTCGGGTCGGGAAAGGGTGTGGGCAAGGTTATCCTCCGGCGTTTGGGGCGGGAGAAGAAGGCGAGAGTGAGGCCAGGCCCCACCTTTCGGTGGTCCAAGACAAGCAGATTGCCCCCTTCGAAGGAAGCCCCGCCTTCACTGCTCGGTCGCGCCCCGCCCAGGCCCGCAGCGCGGCTGCAGCGCGAGGGGCGGAGAGGCAGTGCACAGAGGACCAGACGCCCAGGTTGCCCGCATCTCAGAGCTGCAGTGGACTAAACCGCTCCCCGGCCCTGCTCCGCCGCCTCGTCCGGGCGCCCCAGCTGCTTTCTCGGCCCCAGCGATCGAGCACCTGTCCTCTGTCTTGGTCTCAGCTGAGCGACCCCTCCTTCGGAGCACACACCATTCCTGCAGCCTGAGAAGTGCCCCAGCTCTACTTGGCGACCACCATGGCGGAGACTAACAACGAATGCAGCATCAAGGTTCTCTGCCGATTTCGGCCCCTGAATCAGGCAGAGATTCTGCGGGGAGACAAGTTCATCCCCATTTTCCAAGGGGACGACAGCGTTGTTATCGGAGTGAGTGCTGCTACCGGACGGAATTAGGGGAGGGGCGGGAGGCTGAATCTTCACCCCCGTAGAATCTTAGCCTTTGCTTGTCACTCTGTGCTCCCTCCCCGCCGCTCAATCACCATCCTATTCGCCGCAGCCCCTCCTTTTTCTCCCCTGCATCAGGATGGCTGGGTGTGGCCTGGCTAGGCCTGCAGCCAAGTCTCTGCAGAGTGGGAGGGGGCCCCTTCCCCATCAGGAGACCCTACTCTCCGTGGCTGGGAGCAGCCACATCCCCACCCCTTGGAGCCAGTCCCATGTTTTTCTGATGTTTTCTCTCTCCCCCAGAGAAAGCGCATTTTCCCTTTGTTATTGGCTTAGGTCTTTACCCCCACATCCTAGGAAGGGAGGGAGAAGATAGTGGATGGGCTAAAAGGGAGATGGGTAGTCCAGGTTCTCTGTGGAGGTATGAATGGGAGTGGGCTCTAGGTCCAAGCCCTCCATTTTCCCCTAAAGTAGATACCGTCTGTGCTTAGAGGATTGAGGTCTGATGAAGGGTTTTATGGGAAAGAAATATATTGATGCCACACCCAGTTTCGGGGAAGCCTCTGGAATTCTAAGGACCTATCTGCCTTTCCATCCCAGGTACAGTAGGAAGAGGATTTCAGACTTCCCAATTGTACTCCCTAAATAAACATATCCAAACCCTGAGATTGTAATGCATACTTGCTTATTCATCCTTGCTCTTGATCCAATAAAAAGTAGCAGTTGACCTCTACCTCATCATGACAGCCCTTATCCATGGAGGAGATCTTAAGAAGGAGAATTAGTATTTATTTTTTACTTATTACTCTATGTAGAGTATTAAATCTTCAAAAAACACTCTAAAGTAGTATTGATATTTCCATTTTACAGATGAGGAGATTGAGGCCAAAAGAAGTTGAATGACGTTCTCAAGGTCATGCTGAGAATCCATAGATCTGAATCCAAGTTTGTGAATCACACCTTTTCCTTCATATCATATTGCCTTCCCACATTTCCATTCTGGACCTTCTTCTGTGGCCCAAAGGGAGTTTCTAGGCTTTACCCACTCCACCTTTCCCAGGCTGTGTGGGTAGTGAAGAGACCTGGGGTCAAATCCTGTAGGGCTTGGGGGTGCTGGGCTAGGAAAGTATTGCCAATTTAAGAAGGAGGGGCATGTATGAGGACAATCTTCAAGGTCAGGGGTGCTTCTTATGTATATTTGATTCATAGCACTTGACACAAAGCACCTGGAAACATGCCCTTAAAGGAATGAGGGAAAAAAGGGAAGGATGCCTGGGCCTTCTGAGTCAGTAATAGGAGTTTCATACACAGGCTTTAGGGAGGGCCCCAAGCTCCCACCCCCAGCCTATCACCACCCACACCCACTCTCTGAACTCCAGTAGTGCTTTTGCCTTGTCATGTATGTTTATAGATGTGTGTGTGAGTGTGTGTGTAAGAGTATATGTTTGACATAAGAAGAGGACCTCTGTTTCTTTTGCCTCAAGGACCTCAGGCCTTGTAGTCCGATCAGTCAAGTTTGGCCAGTCTAAAAGAAAGCCCATATCAACTCTTGGGGGCCCCCTCTCTAAGTAGCCAGAACAACAGGCCATGGGAGTTGGAGCTTGGGGTCTGCTTGAGATATTAAGGCTGATAAACAGGAGCTGGCTGTCATTGCAAGCAAATCCACAAAAGGTTTCTACTTTAAGTGTGACTTCCTTGTTTTGGAAGGATTTTCCAGTAAGTCTGAGGTGACTCCTTTAGGCTGTTTGGGCTTTCCTAGTGTGTGGAATAAGTTAGATGTGTTGAGAGGAGGGATTGAGGTATTGATCTGTCCAGTCAGTCCAGCAAAACAGGAGAGACCCTGTTGGAGATGGGATAGAGGAGAGATGGAGAGAAGCCGAGGCCCCTGCTGATTTAGATTCTATCTTGGCTCCACAGCCAATGTTTTCTTGTCTATTCTGCCTGATATCTGTGGGTATGTACCTTTGTCTCACTCTGTATCTTCCCTTGCCTTGGCCTTCCTGTCAGTCTCTCACTTAAGATAAATGTTTGCAGGGGGCCATTTTGTCTCAGGCAATCTCCCTGGAGCTTTCCTTTTAGGACTTACTATTAATTCTTCATGCAGGGGACTGAGGGCTATAGGAGTCATAATTGTTTTTTTTGGCACTGGAGAGTTAACCCAGGATGCTTTACCCACTGAGCTACATCCCCAGACTTTTTCATTTAATTTAATTTTTTATTTTTTTTAATTTTGAGACAGAGTCTCACTAAATTGCTGAGGTCCTCACCTCAGCAATTTAGTTGCTGAGGCTGGCCTTGAACTTGTGATCCTTCTGTTTCAGCCTCTCAAGTTGCTGGGATTACAGACATACACCACTGTGCCTGGCAGGAGACATGGTTTTGAGATCCTTGAGGGTCCCAGTGAGGGAATGATATCTCCTACCTTTTTTCCTCTCCTGATCCCTTTTGGGCCCAGTGTGTGGGGGAACTGTCTGACGAACAGTGGAGGAAGCTGTTTCAGGATGTCTGGGAAGGTGAGGGAAGACTGAAAGAAAGAAAAAAGCAGAGCTCTGCTTTTTCCTGTGACAGCTTTTCCCTTCACCTCTGCTGCACTGCGGCTGGCTTGGGCTTTGGAGGCCCTTATGTTCCTGGGCTTTGTTCTCTTTGCAGAGGGTGGAAGGATAAGTTGGAGAGAGAGCTGTGTGCACCCTATTTTTCTGCATACCTCTGACTTCTCCAAGGAATCTGGGGGCTGGGGGTAGCCAAAGTTAATGGCCTAAGTCATAGTGGTAGGATGTCTGGGTCGCAATGTGGTATATGTCTTGCTTTGCTTTTTGTACACTTAGAATCCAGTGTGCCTTTTTCACTGAACCCATTTAAGTATTTCGGTCATTCTCTGCATTGTTTTTTCTCATCAGTATCCCAGTGCTTAACTGCCTGGGTTGCTGTATCCATGCCAGGTCTGGAGCAGATGACATTGAGAACACACATAGACACACACACACAATTACACTCCCTCTCTGTCTCCTACATTCAAGTGTCCACAGGTTACCCCCCTACAGTCTCCCAGAAGTTAAGAGGGTTCTTAAAGATGCAAGAAACCAGGACCATCAAGTACCTTGTTTAGAAAAGCTAGACTGGACTTGCAGGATTAGTGGAACAGAATTTGCTTGGTTTAGGGTGGCCTTGGATTCCTTTGATATCTGAAGAGTGTGGGGGAGTCTCATTAAGGAAAATGGAGAGGGGAAGTAATGATCACTGTGGCCAGTGTCTCTCTAGCATTTCCATAGCAACAATCCCCAAGGGTGTCAACATGGAAATCGAGGCTGCTGCTTCAAGTTTGGGTTCTACCAAGTATTTTATTGAGAGTTGAACAGCTTGGTCATTTTTGGGCCCCTGATCTTAGGTCCCCCATTAGCTTTAATCAACACACATGATGAAAAACTATAGCACTCTGCTGGACCTTTCCTGCACAAACGGACAAGGAGACAACAAGAAGGCTTGGAGTGGGTTAAAGGCGAACAGAGCCCAGATTGATAAAGAAGAGAGGCCCTCTGGAGAAGGCTATGAGGAATGCCAAGCCTGCAGGGCTGGAAGAGATATCTGTCTCAGGGGCATTCCTAAAAGGTGGAGAGAATCCCAGAGTATTTCTAATGGAACAAGTCTTTTGGTCTCCGACACCATGCCAACTTGCAGGGCATTTGATTACGTAGAGGGGAAGAGGGTGAGGGTCGCCCTCTGAAAGGATGGGTGGGAGAAATGCATATTTCTGAAAATGGGGTTGAGGTTGGAAAAAGGGAGTGATGAAAGCCTTTAGTTCCATCTGGAAATACTTGGGGGAAATGCCCAAAAGGAAGGAGAATGAAAAGCCATGATAAGGATCTTATGCAGGGTTGACATTGTGGTTCTCTGATCACTTTGGGTGTGAGTCTGGAATCAGATTGCTTGAGTTTAAAACTGTGCCCTACCGTTTCTCAGGTATGTGAAAGTGGGCAGACTAACTGACCTCAGTGTTCTCATCTGTAAAATGGGATAACAACAGCACCTGCTTCCTAGGATTATTGTGATCATTAAATTAAATAATACATATAAATGTATTTTTTTATATTTTTAGTTGTAGATGGACACAATACCTTCATTTTGTTTATTTAGTTTTTTTTAATGTGGTGCTAGAGATCAAACCCAGTGATTCACCCATGCTAGGCAATCACTGTACCACTGAGCCTCAACCCGAGCCCAACATATAAATTTCTTAACACAGTGACAGACACAGAATAAGTAAACTCTCAATAAGAGTTAGATGTTAAACCCAGCATGGTGATGTGTATTTGTAGTCTTTACTCTTCAAGAAATGAAGGTCAGAAAATTATTTGAGACCAGCCTGGACAACATAGTGAGACCCAGTCTCAAAGAAAAAAAAAGTTGGGTGGGAAGTTAGGTGTTATTTTTATTTATGCTGTCTCCCTCCAAGCCAAAAATTGGAAAGTGGTTAACACTTTTCCCTCTTACAGGTAGTTTTATCTAACCTCCAGATCCCTAGTATCTTCTTTTTTTCTTCATAAGCATCTATGTTTATTTGACATATTTTTATGAAGAGTGTCCTGTGTGCCAGGGACTTTGGGGATTTGGAAGGAATTTCTGCCTTCAAGAAACTCATCTAGGTGGTGATCCGCAATCTCCGAAATGGCCTGGGCAGAGGCGGAGAGAAGGAAATAAGAAATAGTCTTTGATGAGCTGGACACAGTGCCTCACATCTGTAATTCCAGCAATTTGGGAGGCTGAGGCAGGAGGATCGCAAGTTGGAGACCAGCCTCAGTAACTTAGTGAGGCCCTAAGCAACTTAGCGTGTCTTTGTCTCAAAATTAAAAAAAAAAACAAAAACTTGCTAGCTATGTGTATGTTCCTCTATATTCTGATAAGGAATCCCCACGATATACTACAGTTTGATTCAGAGTAATAATGAAAGATGTAAATAAGGGTGGTTAGTCTAGAGGCAGAAAAAGTAG